CGACTTAGCCGCCTCCTTTTATGGCGTTTATTCTCCAACGTGGTCTTGAAATGTGCCTTCTTGATTGGATTAAATTGATGGATATTGAATGATGATTAGATTGGGCTGAAGGTAGCGAATTATCGCGAGGCAACATCCGAATCGTGTGTCGTCACATCCTCTTTTCTAATTCTAAACTGGCGGAAGTGAGGTGAGCTTTGAAATCCCTTAATCACTAGAACGACGACTAGGAAACAAGTAATGAAGTTTAATTTTTGGGTTCACTCATCAGGATAATTTGGCTGGGTGACTCACCTGAATGTCATTCGGGGATAGCAGACAAACTAGAGCGGGTCGCAGACTCCTGCACTTGATTCCTGAAACACCATGGGAGAATTCCGTGAACGAATCACGTTCTCTGGGATTTGTATTCTGACTCTGGCTTTCCTTAGAGCCTGTCGAGTGCATTGGAATGAGATGAGCGTGAGCGCGGCCCCGTGAAGGAGATTCAGGATTCAGTCCAAGGATGGGGACGAGGACGACGCTGACGCGCCGAGACAAGTACGCAAAAGGGAAAAATGGAATGGAAAGGCGAGAGATGCCTGTGAGCCAACTAGCAGCTGCTTCTTCGTGTGGCATTGTCCTCTGCCAGCGAAGCCATCCTCCTTGCCACTGCCACGGGGGGTGGTTTGGCTCAGTTCTGCTGAGTTCGTCTGGCCCTGCTTACAGCATTACACGTTATTTTCCCTGCTCTTGTTGCCACTCGCAAATCGTGGCTTCTATTTTTCGGGCAGCACATCCTGCAGACTGGCAGACTGGCTGCCGGGGGGTTGGAAGTGGCATTCGCTTATTTTGTTATTTTATTATTTTGCTATTTCTTTCTCTATTGCGCCTTTGTTGTGTCGCCGTCCTTCGTTTCGTTTGCTCTGTTTGGTGTGCGTGAGCAGAAAATTTGAGTGAGAATGTCCCTCGGATTGAGCAGAGTCCTTTGGCACACAGTAATGGGAGAAAAATTGAGTACGTCTTTTTCTTTGAAGTATATATACATAGTATTAACAAATGCCCACTGTGCTGCTCTATGGGAATTACATCTGCATTTCCTGCATTCGGATGATCAAGCGTTTCTTTCCGGCGAGAATGAACGTCGAACGACAAGTGCCAGGATTGGCTTCCGAATTCTGCAAATGCTCTGGTGTTTGACTTTCTCATCCCGTCCCACTAAATAAAACCACATTTTAGAGCCGCAGGCGGCATTCGCTGTGAAATTCGTAAACCGCACGTGTCCCGTTCCAGATCCTGGATATGATCCTGAAACGCCCGTCGAGCGGCGCCCGCCGCCAATTATTTCACTTTTCTGTAAACAAACAAAGCAAACAAAGCGAGGCACATAAAATAAAAATTAATTTCCACACAGAAATTGTTATTTGGGCCGGCATTTCTCAACACCGACCCGGGGCATTCTCCACGCTTATCCTGCGCGCATCCTGCGGCGTTGGTAATGTGGAAACCACCCCGTAAATGTCCCGTTCGCAGTGCATCCCCTTGGCAGGACCTTTCGGCTCTCTGTTGTGATAAATTTTGAAATTGCCCACATTGTCGTTGGACTTATTGGCCGCGTTCCGGGGGCGGCTTGGTTCCCCTGACCATACACCAGTCACCCTTCGAACCGGGGAAAAGTCACATGGCTTGCATTCTGGCCATTAACATATTCGACACTCTCACACTTCCTCTCTGAAGTGGATTGCGTGCCTTTGAAGCGTTGCCTGTTGTTACTCTGAAGGGCCAAAGGGTTTGTTTAAAGCGCAAACAATTTGGCTTTCGAGTAACCTAACTGCTTGGAAGGATTGGGTGAGGGGTGAGGGCCGATCATTGTGACCGATTCCTTAAATTCTGATGAATCTGCGTCAGAAATTCAAGACCACCTTAGCCTCAGAAGTGAAACCCTTCTGTGCACCACTTCATGGCCCATTCAACCCGTCTCCCAACGCCGCTATTACTTCCAGCATCGAAGTTGAAAACCGCTTTGTGTGGCAGCGCAGTGAAAAGACGTGATTCGGATGCGGGACTTTTCACTTTTCTTCGAGGGTAAATCCTGCTAGGAAAGCAGAAAGTAGAAAGGAGCCGCAAGCCTGCAAGTTAACGCTAAATTTAAGATACACAAAAGCGCAGAACAGGCCCCCATTTCTGCGAAGAAATGTATACACAGCTGTTACCAGTCAGAATCAGAGCTGGATTCAGAAAACAGACCCAAGTTCTGGAGCAGACCCCAGCTCTGGCGCGTCTTAACTCACCCACAATCCAGCAACGTGCGCCCGAGGCAGCAAATTCGATATGCCCATCCTCCTCCTCGGAGTATCTCAATCCTCCCCTCGACCCATGCTGAATTGCATTTTGCAGATGGAATTTATGAAACCTCGACCAAGGTGAGCCACACGATTCGATTCGAGCTGCGGCAGCTGCTGATAAGAGACTCAGCGAAAAGCTTCCCCTGAATAACCTGGGTACTCTCCTTACGGATTCCACACGGCCAACAACAAAGCACAGAAAAAACCCGTACTGGGTATTAGCGATAAGTGCCTGACAACAAATGCCAGAGTGACAGCCCAACATGGACGAAAATGTCCCTGTAACAATGGAAAATCAATAGACGGAGTCCAATGCCTGGCACTACGCAGTTTGAATGGAGAGTCCCTGTCCCCCTGCTGAATGCCCCGCTGGCTTGTGTTGGCGCCATGTCATGTCAGCAAATGTCTCATGTTTGGGCTCCTGTCCTGCCACTTGACATGGTGTACTGGCTGCCGCTCTGGCCTCGAACACGCTGTTGCTGCAAATTAAAGGCGCAGGTTACATAATTCCGGCGAAATTGCTACCTAGTGCTCTCCCTGGAATGGAGTTGGGTCTCTGACCATACCAATTTTCCATGCGGCTGGCCACCAATTGTTGCTCTCCGAAAACTAGCGACGTAGCTCCGGGAGAGTCCTGCCAAGTACTTCCGGTAATTGGCCGGGCTGCCAGCCAGAACTTTTGTCGTGGGCAGCTCGATCCTGGCTAATGGACTGGGTCACTGCAGTTGTGTGTTATTGATTTATGGAAAGCACTTTATACGAGCTGATTGAATTCGTATGTGGTTTGCGGTGAGAGTCACAAATCAATGTAGAGGATTTCGGCCATCAACTTGAGTTTACACTGCCCACAAATCTTATGTTGCCCCTGTCGTTCTGCACAGCTCAGCTGGATTTGTCAGCCACTCCAGAGAAGGGGATATCGTGTGGGATATCTCATGTGGTGTGCCACATTTCTAAGCGTCTGCTGCGGACATTTGCATGGGATTGTTCCGAATTTCAACAGAAGCTGGATACTCGCACACACAAATGTCAGCTCCAATTAAAATGCCGTTTGTTTGTTTGTCCATTCTGGATGTCGAGTGCACCGTAATAATGGACTTCCTATGGCCGCCCCCGAACAGTGCAAGCAAAAAGTATGGCGCCAAACAATCAAGTCAATAAGCATCTGCATCTCTGCGCGGGCGTATCTGTAATCTGTAATTACAGGCACAGCAAGAGGTCCAAAGCAAATTAGCGGCACTCGGGGTTGGGTCTCATAATTCGAAAACATTTCTTCGAAGAGAAGGCCTCCGTGGACTTTGAGGTGCGTCCGCCCATGGTGAGATTGACCGCGAGTCAGCCGCTGTCAATCAGAGGGAGGTGGGAACGGGCTGACCCCAAAAATTATGAACTTTTCACACCTCAAATGGCCCGTTCTGCGGCGCACAGTTAACGGACAACGGTCTCGCGGCTTTCCATCGCTTACCTGCAACATTATGAAATTTTATGGCCTGGCCATTAAAAATACCCGTGGTTCCATAATTAATTAGCAAATATTTTTTATGATCCTGAAATTTGATGGGCATAGTCGTTCATTAGTGAATGAGTCGCGACACAAATTAGCTTATGTATAGACAGTCCATTTCCATATCGATTAGCGAGCGGAAGGGCTAATCCTAGCTTAAGTGTGGCCCAGTTCTGCCTAGGGTTAGGGCTTCTTTTCCGTGGCTACATCCTCCCATCTGGCTTGCATCGCTGCCCAAGCTCACAATTGCATTTCCCCCGTAAGCCTCAATTTCCTCTTGGCGGCCTCTTTGTTCTAGCGGCTTTTCGGAATTTGGCCTCCTCAGTGGCCCGGCCTGCCCCACGTGCAGCGAAGATTACGCTTGTTGACTTTAAGCAGAGAGCTGGAAGCGGCAAACTGGTTTCGTTTTACCTTACCACACATATGCCACACGGACAGACAGACGTTGCAATTAGTCTGGCTCAAGTCGTGGCTAACGGTACCCCATTTTCCACCGTCCCGCCTCGCCACTTGGAGTTCATAACTATCAGTTTGTTGTGCCCAGATCTTTAATCGCATCAGGCTCGTGAGATTTAGCGTCGATAGTGTCGGCTCAAGTGATAGATTACCTTGTGCAAGCCGCTTTGGCCCCCTCAGTGGCTCTTTCTAACTTTTTAAAAAGCTTCAGCGCTCGGCAAGGCAGTCGAAGATCTGGGTCTTCGGCAGGGAATCGCGTTTTTAATGGCTTTTCAATGTTTGCCTTTAACGATAATTATCGTTTTTTCACCGAGTTCCGAAATGTTTATTAATATATTTTATGTCCATTTGCAGATTAATTGGCTTTTGGAGTGCACACAACCGACTGGTAAGTTGATAAACGTGTTAAATATTTTTTAATTGTGATTTGGGTTCTTTATAGGCTTGATTTTTGTTTCTTTATATAACAAGTTAGGATTTGTAAAATATTGCTTACAATTATTCTTTGTTGTAACAATATCTTATAAAACTCCGGAAACACTCATGCTTATATACCTTCGTTTTAATTTATTTTACAAGGGCGAAAGTGGTTTTTCCATTAATGGTTCAAGAAATATTGAAAGGAATTGAATACTTAGAGATCCATTAAGTTTTAATGTGAAAATATGGTTTTGTAGTTTAAGAAACGACTTTCATGTTTTCCAAACTTGCATGGATATTAATATTTCTTCAGAATTCATGGAGCCAATTCCGCCAGTGTTTTCCTACATGTGCAACAAATTGCCTAACAAACTCTCTGTCATTGCGGAGGCCACCCATTTACGGATGGTTTCCAATCCGAGAGGCGGTGGATCAACTGGAAACTCACCTGCTTTGGGTGGTTGAAGCGAAGCTACTTATGCGCACTGATTGTGGGTAAACACCATTTTGGGATTTGTTACTGCGGTTCCTTATAGGGCTGATGAGCGGGCGAACCGAGAGAAATGAGCTGCTTACATAACTTGAGTGGTCAATTAGACACGACGGCGACAGGCTCAAAACGACTTCATTACCATCAATCCTAATTGAAAAATCATTGGAGCTGCTTAAAAATTCAGTGAGAAGCTGCCCTACCACCGTTCTGCGTCCCCTCCGCTGAGCCCGCGATGATTTGCGATCCTCCGCTGGCCGTGGCTGTGGCACAACTTAAGTGGCCAGAGTTATGAGACAGCCGCCTGGCAAACAAGTCGCATATAGAGACATGCCTATAAAGTAGCTGCGATTCCAGCACTTGCATCTCTATCTGCGGCGGGATATCTGTATCTGCGCGCATCGGGTTCTGCATTTGCATCTCCGCCCGACTGGCTTTCCCAGCCTCTTGCTCGTTTCTGTCGCGTTTTGTGCTGAGCAAATTGTGGGCAATCATTGTCAATTTACAGTGCACATGCAGAATGACTTTGTGCCCGTACTTGGCGAACGGTAGAAAGTGGCCAGCAGTGCGCCCTCGAGAGGATAAACTCCCTGTCCCGCCCCGTAGCGTCGTTCTTGCCAGCCAGTCTCCACTGCACCCGCACGTCCGTCGGCCCCTCGACAGTTCACCAGCACACCTTGAACTACAAGTTACAAGCAGTGGCGACGTCTCCGTCGTCGGCTACTACTGGCTCAAAATACACAGAAAGAAATAGCTGTGACCTGCTAAGACTTGAGTGCATGGTAGGACCGATTGTAGAGCTCTGCCTCTGGTATCAGTCAGTCATTTCTTATATGTCATCAGAAATTTAAAATTAGATTTTTGACATCATAGCATTTCTCTCGGTGTAGGCATGACGACTTCGGGCTTACAACGGAGGCAAATGTTTTCTTCTTTTTGTGGGACACTTATCCGAGCTGTGAGATCAGCCTGGGTTTTCGTTGCTCCGGGGGTCGTTCGCTTTATTTACCTTGTCTGAGAATTGTCGAGCCCTGCCCCTCGCGCCTTTCTCCGCGCCACTTAGTTTGAGCTTTTTATATATTTTATTATTTTTTGTTGGCAAAAATTTGTATTTTCTGTGCGTCTGCCTTCGGGCGTTTATTTATTCGTGCATTTGTTTTGAGCGTTTGGCTCTGTCGCTACAACTTTTATTGCTTTCATTTATTGCTATTTGTATTTCCCTTTTTCGTGCGAAAGTAATTCAAATTGGTCAAATAAATTGTTTAGTGGAGGAGGAGGCTCTCTCAAAAGGAGGACCTCAAAAATTGTCGACATCTGGTGACTTGATTAATCGCCACGATGTGTCGCCTTGCATTTGATTATTTAAAGAGGCGAGCAAATCGAGTGTAGCTGAACATCTCAATAAACACAATAGGTTAAGTGCTTAGCTTCTTGGCCTCTATGTATCCCGGCCAAGAAAACTGTCGTCTGTGACCCACTGAAAAGCAACCGGAGTGCGTGGTTTTCCTCACTCTGTGGAGTAGGTTGTCATGGCAGAGGGGAACGCCGCTTATCGCGTTTAACGCCCCGTATCACCGCACAGTGCACCCCCCCACCCATAACCTCAGCCGCAAGAACAACGACCCACTTCACCCACGCAGGGCAGAAGCACGCACTCCAGTGGAGGAGGAGTTACAGGTCATTAGGTGCTCGCTCGCTTCCACTTCCATGGGATGTTGTCAAACGATGTCATCTGCTCATCAGCAATAGATGCCAAACACGGAGCGTCGGCAATTTCATTTCATTTAATGTTTAATGTCAAGTGTCTGACACACATTTTTACTCTCGGCAGCTCAGTAGCTGGTGGCCTGGCAGCCGTATCTCACAGATCATCGGCGATGATGGCTGGCAAACCTTAATTAGAAATGCAGTGACTTCACCCAGACTCAATTATATAATTACCCTGGCTGACATTCCGCCGCTGCAGGCAGGAATTGGGAGTGGAATGCTAATTGGAATTCGCCAATTGAATGGGGCGAGGCCTGGAGGAGTCCAAAGCAGTTGTTCTAGAACAGGAGCTCCACCTGCAGTCCACTAATGGCCTAAGTCCGCATGACGCTGCCACTTCAATTGTTTCCATATTTGTGCTAATCGTGATCCACATTGGCGTGCATTTTCATTGTTAAACTAAATGCTCTTGCAAATTGCTCTTTACTTCGTCTGGGTCACAGCACTTTTCATTTGCATTCGTGTGCAGCTGTGGATTTTATACATGGTTTTCATCACCAGCCTTAGCAGATAGTAACACCCCCTTTTATTTCATTTCGTTAAGAGTTCTTCAGAGACTCGTTTAATTGTTAGTTACTAAAATCAGCTGGAGTACTCCGGGAAATGTAGGTTTTTTCAGTCTAACTGTTTACATAACAGGATTTAATAGTGTCTGACCTCACTGACGGATACGCTCCATAAACCATATACACGAGAGAAACAGAAAACAGAGACACACATTAAACTAACTGCAAACGCGAATTAAATTGCTAGAAATTGAAAGTGACACTGAGCTACGCACGAGCTGAAATTCGCTGCATACCATATAGAACCTAAAAATGGAAATGTTCTTCTATCATAACAAATTGCGGGTAATTTGGGGCAGATACACCCCCATCGAATAAGTCGACCAGAGAAGCGTACAAATTGAATGATAAGGGGGCTGAGTAAGAAACTGAAACTAAAACAAAAGGAAACCAAAACTGAAGGCTTTGGTGAAGGGAGGAGAAAAAGGCATGTTCACTAAAGTAAACAGAAGAGTCGAGCTAACGATGGTCGGTAAGAGCCTTGACAAAATGCAAATTGTCAGTTAATTACTGACAGGAGGTGGGGAAGTCCGTTGGGGCAAAGGGATCAAATAACAAATGTACGCTCGGGGCAAATTGTGTTTGCAGCGACACTCAAAAGAGACAAATGTGAAAAACTCCTTTTCATGGAGGGTCTGCGATGTTGAACTGTTAAACACTTTAATGAATTTGCAAAATGTAAACAAAATATTAGAGAATGCCTTGACCGTAAGCTGAAAACATTCTTAAGACTTTTTCTTTCTCGAAAACAGCACTTGTGTTCATCAAGTTGAAGGCATCATGTCATCACTGGGCGTGTGAGTAATGTTCGACTGTTATTGATGGCCCATCAAAAGTCACTGCAGAGAGCTCAGCAAACACTTGTAGGAGGTGCTCACATGCCACGAAGGCCGGTCTAAGATACATGGCCAAGCTCCATCTGTGAGATTTATAATGAGTGCAGCACGCGATCCGGCAGTTAGGCCGCTCTGGCAGTGCATCTCGGTGCAATCTAGATTCCCTGTCTTCCCCGGGATGTGCGTAACCCGATTCCGCTGCGTCTGTCAATGAGGTGCTAATGGAGCCCTGGTATTGAATCGCGGCGTGCCGTCGCGGCATGCTGCGTTTCTCCGCTCCACTGCTCCGACTCCCGACTACCGACCATGGTGTGGATGTACAGTTAGCTGTGTGTTTGCCACAACCGCAGCTTTGACTTACCATGTCTAATAAAAGTGGTCGGAGGGATGCCCGGCTGGAGCTTCTTCAACCACTTCCTTCGGCCACCTTGGAGTGCTCTTGTTTTGGCGTAATCCGAGAAATCGTAAATCTGCAAGAGAGCTTGAAAAGTAATGTGGTTGCTTTTGAGCAAACATTTTCAAAGATCTGAGCCAAGATCTCAGTTCAACCAGCGGGTCCGACCAGATACAAACGTGAGAAAACGTTTACTGGTCATAATTTTAAAGGGTCGTTGTGCAGTAAAACCAGTTTGTTTGAATACTTCTGCGCTACATCTACATCACGTACCTTATTTATTTCATATCTAGCCCCATTTCAATAATTAATTATCTAAATTGCAAAATAAACGGCAGCTGTTATAGAGCTCGTTAATAGATGAGCACAACAAAATTGCCGGCAATCCACAAGGTCGGATCTAAAGCTGGCGTGACGTGTTTGCCATCAACATATTAAACAATAGATATACCCCGCTCACGCAACTTATATGGTGGAATATAAGCCCAAAGAACAATACTGCATGTGTATACCATTAGAAGACACATTGTGAGCGGTAATTACATTCTTGTGGCTCAGTTTCCAAGCCTCAGCATTATTTACGATATGTTTGTTGTGAACTAATGCTGACGGATGATATTTTGATACCAGCTTTCCAGTAGAAAAGCCAGATATGTGTTTCTAAATATTAATGCGCAAAGGGTGGATCAGATTTATTCAAGACCTTGATTTTGTATCCAATTATTTATGAATATGTCGGGCTGAAAAGATTAATAATCTTAGATTCAAATGGAACACGGACAGGTCTTGTAAAATTTGTACACTGAAAACATAAGATCGATTTTACGTATATTGCATTCAAATAATTGGCTTCGAATATTCCGAGTGTAGCTTAGTTGAAAAACCAGTTCAAGTTTAGTTTTTCGTTTCTCTTATATTTTTGGCGGTAACAATATGGGATCAGCACGTGGCCCGCTGACTCCAAGAACACTCCACAGTACCGGTTTGGGTTTGTTTTTGCCTGGACAGCTTTCAGTGATCTGACGATGACGTAGTGCTCGGAGCGCTCAGAGCACATGTGGCTTGCTTTCAAACGGCCCATGACCAATTTCGGAGACTACGCAATACCAAGAGGGGTCAATGGTTCTTTTTCCGAGGGGAAAATACATAAAAAATGAACTAAAGTATCGAAAATACAGCAGCAGCGTGGCGAAATGTCTTTTGTCGGAAGCCTGCAGGGGAATTGTGTATTTCGTTATTGAATTCAATTAGTTTGCCTTCAAGAGCTTAGAGTGCTTTCTGTCTAGTACCCATACTTGGACCTCTCTCTTCGTGCATAATTAAAAAGCAATTATAACGAATTACTGTCAGATGTTGCAGGGTTCAATAGCATTTGGACCACTCTCCTTTAGCTATCGCTGAAAGATTCCTCGCCAATGCTTAGGAGACATTCTTCGAAGCTCGCCCAGATGTCGCATATCTTAAATGTCAATCAACAAACTTTTCTTTCAGCGTGAAGCAATCTTTTAAATCTGGTTGCAAAGCGTTGATTTTGAAACATAAAAAAATTAACAAAGAGCACTTCAGAAAAATACCAAACCCGCTTTTAAAACAAGTTTACGTTCCCAAATCCCATTTTTTGTAATATCTTAAATACTAAATACCAGCTTTTAAAATAAAAATCAAAATGCTGATATAACTTTTTGAACGCTTTTCGTGTTTGGCTAGTTCACTAGTTTAAAAGCGTTTAAAGTGCGGAAATCCATGTCTTGAGAACTTTTCCGAAGCCTAATAAAAGGAGCGTACTGTTATACATTAATGTACCGGAAAAATATCAAAAATTATTAGATAATATGAATTCGTTGAAAACTGACACTACAGACAAAATAAATATCTTTAACATGATTTTTTTACGCACAAAATGTATATTTCTACGCCTAATTGCCTTGAGTGGTAGAAAAAGCCAAATTAAAATTAATGCCTTTTTGATTAGGCATTACGAATTAACTAATTAGCAGCTCGTTTGTTTGCCTAATATGGGTTTAATTAAATGTTTTCTGTTTTCCCATGCATTTCAAAATCTGTTTATTAAATATGCGCTGTTTCCTTAGTAATTTGTGTTTAATTTTTGGAAACTGGTTTGAATTTAAATAAAAATTGTTGAACTCAAAATTTGCATGAAATATCAATCACGTTGTTAATTTATGAAAACCAATTGAAAACGAAGCAAGCACAAACTAGTTTAATATTGAATAACCAACCAGTTTGTTTTTCTGTTTGAGTC